GGGCCGAGGCAGGGAGGGCGGAGTCAAAGAGATGGGGTGGGGCCGAGGCAGGGAGTGTGGAGCCAAGGATAGTGGGGGCCGAGGCAGGGAGGGTGGAGCCAAGGACAGTGGGGCCGAGGCAGGGAGGGCGGAGCCAAGGACAGTGGGGCCGAGGCAGGGAGTGTGGAGCCAAGGATAGTGGGGGCCGAGGCAGGGAGGGCGGAGCCAAGGACAGTGGGGCCGAGGCAGGGAGGGCGGAGCCAAGGACAGTGGGGCCGAGGCAGGGAGGGCGGAGCCAAGGACAGTGGGGCTGAGGCAGGGAGGGCGGAGTCAAAGAGATGGGGTGGGGCCGAGGCAGGGAGGGCGGAGTCAAAGGGGATGGTGCTGAAGTAGGGAGGGCTTGGCCAGATATGGGGTGGAGGCCAAGGCAGGGGGGCGGAGCCAAAGAGATGGGGTGGGGCCATGAGGGTGGGGCTGAGGCAGGGAGGGTGGAGGCAAATGGAGATGGGTGGGGCTGTGGTGGGAGTGGCCTAATGGAGATGGGGTGGGCCTGAGGCAGGGAGGCTGGAGCCAAGTAGAGATTGGCAGGGCTGTGGTGGGGAGGGTGGGCCCAAATAGAAATAGGGTGGGCGGAGCCAAATGGAAGTGGGTAGGGTTGTAGCATGGGAGTGGGCCGTGACAGATGGTTGAGTCAAATGGAGATGGGGCAGGGCCACAGCTGGGGTGCAGTACCTTGACAGGGAGGGTGGGGCCAAATGGAGGTGGGGCGAAAGAGGGGTTGAGGCCTTTGGAGGCACAGTGGGGCGAGGTGTTGGCAGGGGTCTTACCTGCCCCTCCAGGATGGGGGTTACTGACATCAGCCCCTTGCCTGCCGAGGTGGTCAGGGGTTAGCTCTGGGAGGTCATGGGCTCAGCTGAGCCCTGCAGACCTGGGCTCAGTCCTGCAGATGAAAGCAGCAGGTGAGGCCAAGGTCAGGTGAGGGCAACCCCTGTGGGCCATGGCCTAAAGTGCGGGTCTGGGTCCAGTCCGGGCCCTCTGTCCACCCCCTTGCTGAACCCCAGCTGTCGAGTGGGGCATCCCGGAGGGGCCATCACTGGGCTGCAGAGGTCTCGGCACAGCTGCCTCCAGGACCGTTTCCCTCAAGCTGGCTTCTTGCAGGTGAGAGTGCCTGGGATCCAGGCCATCAGCCCAGCCTTTGCTCAGGGAGCAGGCCGGGAATGCAGTGGCCCAGGTTCCTCCTGCGCAAACCCCCCCTCCCCTGCAA